GAGAGAGAGAGAGAGAGAGAGAGAGAGAGAGAGAGAGAGAGAAAGCTTCATAAAGCACATACATTTACACTGAAATTACTGAGATTTTTCCTGGTTGTTAAGAATGAATAGGAACATGAGAAGAGGAAGTGTGTGTATCACATGTATTTATATATATTAAACAATACATACAAATATACACACAATGTGCCTTTAAATGTGAAACTTCTAACGATATGTCAGTACTTCACATTTATTGAGGAGCTAAATGGAAGATTCATGAATAAACACAAACAGAAAGAAAAATACTATTTAAAAGGAGACAATCTTGGATTAAAACCAGATTCTGGTTTTAAATTGTGTGCATACAAATGCACAGTTAATATGTACACTAGAGACTAAAAGAAGTCAATATAGAGAAGAATAAAATATAAAATCAAAACCTCGAGTGACAGTCATGCTGCAGAGACCTAAGAGTAAGAGGAACAACACTAAATACACTGGGCTTGCATAGATATTTGCACCTTCCAACAACCTCTTCTTTACAAGCATGTAATTTGATATTTACCTGAAGACGTATTTTCTTTTTGTGTGTGTGTCTTTTTGAAGCAGGGTCTCCCTGTAGCCCCAGCTGTCCTGGAACTCACTATGTAGACCAGGCTGGCCTTGAACTCACAGAGATCTGCCTGCCTCTACCTCCGGAGGGCTGGGACTACAGGCGTGCGCCACCACACACGGCTTGAAGATGCATTTTCAATGCTTGTTTTCTGGTAGAAACTAACGCTTTCTTTCAGTACAGAATATTCTAAGTAGATAACTGAAAGCAAAGATTTTCTACATTAAAATCAATACATACTAGATTTATCAAATGTCATCTGAGATTAATTTCTTGCTCCACAGCTTTCTCATGGCATTTTTCACCTCTGCATTCCTCAGTGTGTAAATCAGAGGGTTGAACAGAGGTGTTCCAATTGTATAAAACACTGATATCATCTTATCCATGGGAAAGGTGGTTGCAGGGCGTGTGTATATGAATATGCAAGGTACAAAGAACAAGATGACGACCATGATGTGGGAGACACAAGTGGAGAGGGCTTTCCTCCTCCCGTCAGCACTGTGGTTTCTCAGAAAATACAGGATTACCACATAGGAAGCCATCAGCATGACAAAACTCACTGTACAAATGGCCCCACTATTGGACACCAGGAGCAGGTTGATCACGTAGGTGTCTGAACATGCAAGTTTCAACAAGGGCTGCAGGTCACAGAAGTAGTGATCAATCTCATTGGGACCACAGAAAGGCAAACTCAAAGCCAGAAAAATCTGAACTAAAGAATGGACACAGGATCCCACCCAGGCCACCAATACCAGCACACCACAGACCCGACGGTTCATGATGGTCATGTAGTGCAGGGGTTTACAGATGGCCACATAGCGATCGACAGCCATGAGGATGAGGATAAAGATTTCTAAGCAGCCAAAGAAATGCAACGAGAAGACTTGGATTACACACTCAGTGAAAGAGATAGTGGCCTGCTTCCTTAGGGCATCCACGACTGTTCTAGGGGCTATTGAAGTAGAGAAGCAGGTGTCAGACAAGGATAAGTAAAACAGGAAGAAGTACATTGGACTCTCCAGTGCCTGGCTGGTCTTGATGGTAACAATAATCAGCAGGTTGCCCAGTAACGTCCCCATATAAAAAAGTAAGAAAAAGGCAAAAACTACGGTCTTCCTAACAGGGTCCTGTGTCAATCCAAGCAGAATGAACTCAGTCACATTGTTATTCAGCATCATCGTTTCATGAATGAAAAGAGCAGGTGAAATGGGTGATCTGCAAAAAACAAGGAATTGGTTTAGCAAGTGGTATGAAGGGACATTTTAAGCAAAAATAAATTATTTCTCATAGGAGACATTCTCCTTTGGTGTATCAAAAAGTTACTCTAACACTTTGATCTTTAATTTTAAGTTCATTATTAATTTCAAGAAAGCTGTTGCATTTACTCTCATCCCATAGCATTCTTCAAACACACTTTAGCATGATTCTGATTAATTTTGTCATGTCAATTAAAGTGAAATATAATTCTTCGTTATTGTTTACCTTATTTCTTCATGATCAATACATTTTGAGGAGTTATGATTTACATAGTGTTTATACCTTCATTTAGAATATATTTTACTGTCCTAAGCAGTCTGTAATGTAAAAACAAATGTTAACTACTTCTTCTAGTCTTTAAAATATGTCTTTTATATGTTTATGTTACATATTTATTATAAATATTTATACAAATTAATAATATACTATACTCTTTCTCAGGTATTATAGCTTGAAAAAATAAGAAAAACAATCTATAAAATAATGCTGATATTTTAAAATACTTTTTTATTTTGTAAATGACATATGTGGACAGAGAAGAACCTTCTTTGAAATATGAAACTCCCTTTGTATATATATTTTATTTCTTCCTTGGTAATTTTTTCATATCACCAAATTTGAAATATATCTTTATTCCATTGAGTTAATAACTTTTATGAAAATATCTAACCAAGTTGCTTTGAAGTGGCAATAATAAAAGTACAATAAGTATTTGAAACATGATCTTCAGCAAATGTCATAATCTATAAGGAAGAAGAGTTCTGATATCTTAATTACTAAAATAAGATTTATGTCTTACTTATTTAAAAGTTTTCTATATCATGAAACAACTGACTTGAAAACATGATAGTCTTTTGAGGCCAAATTATTTGAAAAAAATCACTCCCCTTAAATACTACATAATTTTACCCATTTGCTTAGCAGTGTGTTTGGTTGTTTATCATTGCCTGTTATAAGTCTATGCTTACAGCAAGGTTATTTTCTTTATGCATTTAAGCAAAATTTTAAGATAAGAAATCAGGTGAGTATTTCATTAGCTTGATGACAATTGCCTTTACCAAATATTGTGGAATAGCTTAAACAATGTTCTCCTGTCTTCTCTGATGGTTTTTCTACTTCCTTCTGTTTTATTTAAAAAATGTCAATACTTAGCTGCCAAGAAACTTCCTGTACATGGACATGAATTATTTTTTTTGACAAACAAAATTTGATTTGCTTCTCTCTAAGGAAAGAATACCTTCATGATTTTATGAATGAGAAGAGGAACATGTGAAATAGTTTACTTGTGAAAAATATTTTAATGTATGTGGTATAATGGAACATTTTATGCAAAATAATCATTCCTCATAAAACATGTTTAGGCTCACTAAAATGCTGCTTTATAGCCCATCTATACTCTTTTCATAATTTGACACATTATTGATTTAATGCAATGATATGTGCTCTTCTTTTAGCTTCTGTTTCTTTATTAGAACCATGGAAATTCATTCATTCTCAGGAATATATTTCTCATAGATCCAAATTCAATTATCTCCATAATGTAGAAACTTAGAAAGTGTTAAATTGAATTACATGACTATAATTTCATACTATTAATATCATTCTATTTATAAAGACAGTAACCTGATTAATTTTATTTATAATGTAGGGTAAAGGCAGCTATGTTCATAATTTATTAAACTAAGACAAAATCATAAGTCGAAGCAGAAACAAAACTTAGATTGATCAAAATAATTTAGTGAATTACTTGTTTTGGAACAGACAATGTCATGCTCTACAATGCATCATATTGCATGGGATGCTGATTCCTATAAAACGGCTATTTGAAACATTAAAAATTGTGACATGAATCCTTGACCCTTCAGGTATGGAAGGAGAATCTTTTCATTATCAATCTCTCCTTTCACTGATCCACAGTATTTTGGTGTCCATATGCATGAATCATGTCTAAACTCATACCCACCTCTTAAGAAGTGGTAATGCAATTTACGAGGTTCACATCAGGTATTGAAGATAACCCAATGTCCTGTAAACACCCCCAGAATACAGCACATCTTCCAATTACAATACTTACCTCAGCTTTTCAAACAAGATGGAACAACTTTAGGTTTGTCTACACTGTTCAAAACAAAAAGAAACACAAATGACCTAGTGTTGAGAACTTAAAGAGGGAACCAAACAATCATTGGAGTCTCTCAAGCTATGCAACCGAGTCTCAGGATTCCTGTCAACTGCTGATAACCATGCACTGGAAAGCAGGCTGGGCTGAGATGCAAGAAGCTGCCAGACAGCTCACTATCTGTTACACATACTATCTGCATATAGTTCGCCTGATGGTCAGGAAATTATTTTTCATTATCCTTTCTGTATCTTACTAGACAGAAATCAGGCACATTGTGGATGACTAAGATTTCGTAAAATAATGCCTCACAAATGAGAAGAAGCAGATATTTAGGGAGATTTTGGCAAAACTATTACCTATATTAATTTTCAACTCCATTACATATATTTGAAGCATCCTTACTGTTATGTTTGGTCTGAACTTTTTCTAAGAAATAGTTAACTCCTTGATGTAAATCTCCAGTGTATATTCATTGTAAGTGAAAGTGTTATAATATCATTTAGAAGCATGCAAATAATATTATTCTGTAATGTAATATGCTATAGTCCACTCAGATGTCATTCATTGAAAGGAAAGCAGACTTTTTGTAGAAGTTCCGTCAAGGTCATTGTTCCCTATTAATATTTTCTCCAATTTCTTTTTATTGTTTTTGTTGTTGCTTTGAGACAGGGTCTTCCTGTAGCTCCATCTAGCCTGGAACTCACTATGTAGACCAGGTTGGCCTCAATCTCAGAGAGATCCTTCTGTCTCTGCTGCAGAGTGCTGGGATTAAAGGTGTATGCCAGTCACACCTGAATTTTCCTCCAAATTTTATTTAGACATATTGTTTTCTAGGTTGTTGGTACATGAAAGAGCTCTTGGTAAATATTATCTAGCCACGTTACATGAAAAGCCTTTGAGAATGTTTCTATACTCCAGCATCTCAAGAAATTTGCCACTAAGTTTAATATATCAAATGCATTCTTCTTCCCCCATGTAACAATAATGGCTCTTCACATACCAATTTCTTACAAAGAATTTATGTTCAAAGGAATGTTTTTCTATAAAGATCATATTTCCTTCCAATTTTTTCCTAATGTAACAGTATACCCTTTAAAATCACAGTGATATGGATAGGGATGGCGGTGCAAATGTTTAAACTCAGCTCTCACGAGGCAGAGGCAGGTGGGTTTTTGTGACATTGAGACTACCCTGATCTACATAGCAAGTTCCAGTTCTGCTGGGGATACAGGAAGAACCTGTCTCAAAACTGGCAAATACCAAATACAGTGCCTTGTTAATTCTTCTATTCTTTTTCCAGAGAATATTGGAACATTCTAATCATCTAATCACATACATTGCACAAGCATTTTAAAAATGTAGTGATGCATCTCTGAGCTCACAAAGTAGAAATACAATCTCCTCTCTTACCTGTTGGAAGACTCTTCTTTAGTCTCACCTGTCCAACCTCTTTTCACGGCAGGTTTCCCATAGGATAGTGGAGAAAAAGTTATCCCTGCCCTCCAGAGGGAATGTGCTAACACAAGGTGACACGAGACATTAGCACCTTAGACAACAACGTCATAAAAAGTTTATCTTCCTCTACTAATCAAAAACTTTAGACTTGCCATAATACATCTACTTTTGACTGTCTATTTAGATTATAACAATATTAAATTAATTCTGAATTCAAAGAGAATTAATTAGAAACAATGGTAAAGAGGTATCTGCATTTGCACCAAATCTGCTAGAGGATAAAAAGGAAAATAATGAATGGACGGTGAAGATGATACTAGAGAACAGGGGAAGTAAGAGATAGTGTCAGTAGTACAAGAGGATTTGGATCATGTACAGAATAACTGCCTCCTTCTAACTAACGCCCTTAGCTAGCCCTTCCTATGAAAGGGGGAAAAAGCATGCTAACTTCCACAATGTACTTTCAATGTATTTGTAAATAAAATCCATGGAAGGCAACGTGGTACACTGAAACCAGAAGCCCTATTGAGTGGACTACAGATAATTCCTTTCAAGAACTGAGATTAGGAGCAACTTACCTAAGGATTAATATGAATATTGAATCCTGAATTTCACATTTTAAGAATTATTTCAATAATTACTAGTGATGTTGAACATCTTTTAAGATGCTTCTTAGCCATCCTTACTTCTTCTTTTCAGAACTCTGTTCAGCTCCTTAGCCCATTTTCTAATTGAGTTACTTCCTTTCTTGATTCTCTGTTTTTTTAGTTCATTATATATTCTGGATGTTAAACCTCTGTCAGCTGTGTCACTGGTGAATATTTCTCCCATTCTGTGGGTTTTCACTGACTTCCCTGGTTGCCTCCTTTGATGTACAGAAGCTTTTTAGTTTAATGAGGTCCCATTTGTTGATTCTTGACCTTGTTTCCTGAGCCCTTGATGTCAGGTTTAGAAAATCCTTTCCTACACCTATATTTTATAGGTTTTTCCCAATGTTTTCTTCTAACAATTTCAGAGTTTCAGGCTTTACATGGAGTTCTTTGATCCATTTGGAATTGACTTTTGTGGAAGGTGAAAGATGTGGATTTAGTTTCATTCTTCTACAGATAGAGATCCAGTTTTGCCAGCACCATTTGCTGAACATGCTGTCTTTCCTCCAGTGAATGTTCTTGGCCCCTTTGTCATATATCAGGTAGCTGAAATTGCATGTACTCATATTTGGATCTTCAATTTTGTTCCATTGATCTATGGGTCTGTTTTTGTGCCATAATCATGTTGTTTTTATGACTGTAGCTCTATAATACAGTTTAAAATCTGGTATAGTAACACCCCCAGCATTGCTCT